TCCGATATAATAGAAAATCAAACAAAAGGTTAGTGAAATTAATCCTCCAAATGTTTTTCTAATCCGTTCTTCATATATATATATATAAGTATTTGACAGTTTGAGATAAACGAGTGTAATTGTCTTGTTTTCTCTAATTGGTTCTTTAGGGAACACCAAAAAGAGAAAAAGAGCTTGTGGTTTAGCCATGTCGAAAAGGAAAAGGAAATTGCTGGCGGATAATCCAACGGAAGATGCAGAAAGGAGGTTGGAACAAATGGCCTCATTGGCAAATGCACTGTAAGCTTCTGGGACTGAGTACAGTAATGAGCTCACCTATAGGCCCAGCATGGCTCCAAGGTCAGCTAATTTTGCAGCTCTTGAGAAGGGAGGAATGCAGGTAATAGATTTTTTTAGGAAGTTAATCATGTTTGTGAGCATGAAAAATGTACTAAAATTATAGCTTGTCTAGGGATGGATTCACGATTTTATGTTAAGATATGAACTTAAGAAGTTTTATTAAAAATTTAGGGATTGTGAAGTTACAAATTTCAAGTGGTTTGAAATTAGATAATCAACAGAAAATTCAAATAAAATATCGAAACTATGTGCAAATTTGAAAATTTCAGGAGTGTGGCTGTTTAGGTGCCTTATAGGCCATGTGTGCTTGTTACTGAACTCCAGCACTTGTCTTTTTAATTGTGGGTTAATATGATCAATTGCATTGTCAGGTTCTACCCAAAGAAGATATAGAAACATGGAGCGTGGGCAAAAGGATGATGGAAAAAGGGGAATGTCCCCTCATTGTTGTTTTTGATCCTGTTGAAGGGTATGCAAAATGTTGTCAGCTTATGAATTGTTATTCTATTGAGTTCATTTAAATGCTGAGCTAACCATTGATGTTTGGTTTTTGACAGGTTCACTGTACAGGCTGATAGATATATAAAGGATTTAACCATTATTACAGAATATGTTGGAGATTTAGATTACTTAAAGAACCATGAAAATGATGACGGGGATAGCATGATGACCCTGCTTCATGCGTCAAGCCCTTTGAAAAGCCTTGTTATTTGCCCCGACAAGTGTGGTAACATTGCCCGATTTGTTAATGGCATCAACAACTTCACCGTAAGTTCATCTTCTACATCCTTATTGCTGTTTAGCTGGTTGGGGTGCACCAAATAAACATTGTGTGACATTGGAAATGGTGTGTATCTTAAATGCGTGAGGTATAACGTGAATGGGGAATGTCCAGTTTTGCTGATTGCTAACAGGGATACTAGAAAAGGAGAAAGATTGTACTATGATTACAATGGATATGAACATGAATACCCCACAGAACATTTTGTTTAACATACTAGGCTTACCCCAAAGTTGACAAGCTGTTGTATACACATGACATGATTGTCCTCCGGTTTAAGCCTTTTCTTGAGGGTTTTATAGGAGGATAATTGTCTTAAAAATCATTCTGCATTCATCAATATGTTTACTATCAACCAGGGCCTGTGTCCTGGGCTTAAAATGTCCATTTTGTTTCAATTCAACTTTGTTACAGTCTCCTACCTTGTATAGTGGGCTTAAATATCATGGGTTATTTCTTATTTAGTGGGCTGATTCTGGTGCCATGTAAAATTCAATATCGATAGAATAAGTTGATAGCATGTATTTTTATAATTTCTAAAGTTTTAATGATAGAATAATATTATAAGAAATAATTCTAATAATGGAAACCAATTAATACACTCCAAATGTACAAGGTATAGTAGTTGACATCACTTTCAGAAATGAAATGGGGGGGGGGGGGGTTGGATTTAAATAGAGATGGTGGACAGCGAGGAAGTGTAAGGAGATAATCAAGTACCAAGTTTGTACTATGAAAAAAGAAGAAAAAGATGTCCATGACACTTAACAGACTATATGTACCATTACAGTGCTTATTAGATTGAGGACCACCCTAATTGATACAGAAAAACAAAAGCCGGATACAAATAAAGAGGTAGGGTGGTCCATACGCCCCACAAAGAGCAAGTGGTCCCAATCTTTCATTTAGTAAAATGGTGCAACAACCCCCACAAGGGATTTTGGTGATCCTTTTCCATTGAATTTGAACTGCAAAATTTTCTTAATGTATTTTGTTTGGGTGTTTCAAGGTCCAGGGCCTGGCCTGCACATAAATTAAAAAAGTTACTCAAATTCCAAGGGGAAGGACTTATAATGTTCTAATGTTCTGGCTTAATGGAATTCGCAGCGGTACTGCTAAAATGAAGTTGCCGTTACTCACATTTTGAATCTCAAACACATTGAATTCTATATTTTAAAATACAGAGCTCACTTGAAGGGCTCGACCCTAGTTGATTCCCTCGGTTATTTGTCTTGCTAATGACCGCCTCTTACTCTACCCTTATCTAAAATATAACGTTTGTTGTAATTTAGAACATAGAAAGCACGAACCAAGCTATCTCGGTAGTAAAAAAATTATTGTTATTCCTTGAAATTCCGAGATCAAACACCATAAATGTCAGATGTGTGAGCGTTTTCTTACTAACCAAGCATATTTCAAGTCATCTACTCATGTGCATGAGTCTTTATTTCGAGGTCTAAAACATTATTTATTTCACTAATAATAATTTTCAATTATCATAAAATTAAATTTTGAAAAGAATTTCAGAAGAAACATTGACTTAACCCTAATGAGTGATCCTCTATCGTCCAAAGACCCTGGCCTCCCTAAAAAGCAAGTCGTATTGATTAAACCCCTTCTAACGACGACCTTTCCAGTAACACCCTAATCTAGTCCGACCCGAAGATCGATGGATTAGAACGTCACACGAGACCACCTGAGTGGCTAACAAAAAAATATTATTTAAAAACAATTGTAAACCATCACGTAAAATCATCCATAGTAAGAACAAAACAAAACATAATAATAGTCTAAGTTTACAAAATATGAGGAGCTCCCAGACATCCGATACACTTTCTGTATCCTCTTTACTACTTGAATACGATACATATACTTGCGTGATTGTTGTAGCATTTATCATAACATTACTATACTAATTCCTAATAAAATAATAATAGCCTAAAGTTATTGTTCTGTCTTGATTCCTAATAAGATAATAAATCTAATCATAAAAGATAATGAATCATCCTATATTAAATTATGTTACGAATAATCAATAAAAATATTGACAATTCATAATATTTAAAAAAATCTCATATTAATCACACATATGAAGTTTTCCATGCATTGTCTTCATTAAAATGGATGTATCTTAAGTTCCTGACATCAGATTTATGCATTTCAAGTATCGTTTAAAATATAAGAGACATTTGTTCGTACCTCCAGAAGATATGTCGACCAAATAAAACCTAGATTCCATTCAAAAAGTTGACAGAAGTTTGTTGTTGTTATGGTCTTGTTTTTCAAGGCATGGTTGTGTAGATCAATTAGAAGAAATAGTCTATCTTTCCTTAATGTGAGCCTTGTGGTGCATGTATCATCCTCATTCTCTTCAAAACGATTCAACCTTGAATTTAAAACATCAAAGAGGAAACATTAGAACCTTTGAATGATTTTATCACATTATTATTGCCGAATAAATGTTCTTTGTATCTTCTAGAGTTTGTTCTTCAAATAGGTTCGAGTAGAAACATTAGTCCAAAAAATAATTATTAGGTATGACTCATAAATATACCGGTAAAGAGGACAGAGAATGGAGCGGAGTGAGCGAAGCGAAAGCAGCGAGCAACCCTCGCGGTACGATACAGGGTTATTTTTGTAAATATGTACCATGGTTTATTTATTATAAAAGGAGATGTAACCAAAACCTATGAGACATTGAATAAAAATTCTAGCTCCGCCTAGGGCACCGAGGACGTATGCACATTGCTGAACCTTGTTAAAATTCTTGTGTTCTTTCCGTTTTCTTTACCCGATTATTCAACAATAATGCATGTCATCATTATGGATTCCAGATCATGCATCATCCCCCTCTCCTCAAAAGGAATCATCCACGAATCTAAAAATTCAAAAGAAAGAGAATTAGATTCGGTGGAAGGAATGCTTGTAAACCACTTACCCATATCAATGTGATGTGTCTTTATGCGCTTTAGTATAGGTTTCTTCCTAGCTAGAATTGATTTCTTGTTGTCTTGAAATCCTTCTTTGCATAAAAGTCTTGTAATTCAGTGTTTAATTTGAAATTCAACATGGTTTTTATTCGTGTGTGTCGACGAGTGTTTAAAAACCATGTGAAATGTGATTCAGGAACTAATCATTATTGTGAGGCGCTTTTTGGAATGCATAACATGTTTAGTTGAAAAGGAAACTCATTTCACTCTTTTAACCACTTAAAGGATTTATGGTGAGTATCGATGACAACTTCAAATGTCTTAACTTATACAAAAGAGAAGAAGTATGTTAGAATATCATTAAAATGAGTAACATCATACTTAGCTTTAGATTCTTATAAATCGTGATTTATCACAGAGATGGCACAATGGTTACGACTTTTTGGTGGTAACCCGTTAGATGGGTCACCTAACACTACTAAAAAACTCTGTAAAAGAGGAATAAACATAACAAACAAGCTAGTGTTATTGTCAGAAATTAAAACTAGTGGTTATTTAAAGTAGACAATAATGTTGGGCTCTTTGTGAAGAAAGTTCTCTCCTAGTTTTTTTGTGCTCACATATATATATATTGAATCACTCTTTTCTTCTCACAATCAGGTTCACTCACCATTTGTGGGTCATGATATCATCTTCAATTAAAGGATTTCAGCTTTAATTTAGAACAATGGTATAAGGGTCCTCTTAATTTTGGATGCAAAGTAAAAATATCCTTTTCACTCTCTATTGGGCTTAGCTCAAGCCCAAATTCACCTCAATTTGGATCAAAGCTTCCTAAAAGCTAGGGAATTAATCCAATACCTATCTCGGGTTAGCCCAAAACTCCTAACCCCAGATCCGAGGTATTATATCTATCTCTGCCTAATTAATTTCTTTTCCTCAAAATTTAACTAAGTAGAAGAGGTAAGTATACTGAAGTTGCATTCCTCATCGGTTTCCCAAGTTGCTTCCTCTACGCCATGGTTCCTCCACAACACTTTCACTGAAGGAATCCTCTTGTTCCTTAACTCCTTGATGTCCTTTGCTAGGATTTTGATTGGCTCCTCTATATAGGTCATGTATGAGCAAACCTCAATCTGTTCTATGGGTATGATATGAGAATGATTTGAACGATATTTTATGAGCATTGACACATAGAATGCATTTTGGATGTGTTCCAACTCTGGTTGTAAGGCTAACCTGTAAGCCATTGGCTCAACTATCTCAAGTATCTCATAAGGTACTATAAAGCGAGGAGTCAACTTTCCTCTGCACCTGAAGCAGAGTACTTTCTTCCAAGGGGAAACATTGAGGAACACTTTATCCCCAAATACAAATTTGATGTCTTCATGCTTCAAATTCGCGTAAGACATTTGTGTTTATGAAGCTTCTTTTAGTCGGCTCTGGATCAGTCGAACTTTCTCCTCTGTCTCTCTGATCAAGTTTGGCCTCACTATCATACCCTCACTGAGCTCTATCTAACATAGTGGAGTCCTACACTTGGTAAGTCCTCATATAGAGTCATCTGAATGCTCGACTGAAAACTGTTGTTATAAGAAAACTCCACTAACAGCAAGTGATCCTCCCAACTAACCTCTAGATCAATGATAGTGCACTTGAGCATCTCCTCAAGAATCTGGATAACTCATTCTGATTGACCGTCTATATGAGAATGGATGATGTACTAAAGTGTAGTTTGGTGCCAAAGGATTTATGGAGGGCTTTCCAGAAGTGAGAAGTAATTCGAGGCTCTCTATATGATAAGATTGAGGTTGACACACCAAGCAACCTCACTATCTATCGGATGTACAACTGAGATAACCTCTCTAAGGTATAGTTCATTCTAACGGGGAAGAAGTGGGCTGATTTGGTTAGGTAGTCCACTATGAACCAAACGACATCATGCTTGTGTCTTGTTATTGGTAACCTAGTCACAAAGTCCATGGTTACCCTGTCTCATTTCCACTCAGGAATCTGAATGGGTTGAAGTTAAGCTGAGGGAACCTGGTGTTCCACTTTCACCTGCTGGTACACTAGACACGTAGCAACAAACTCTGACACTTCTTTTTTCATACCTAGCTAATAAAACAATTGGCGAAGCTTCTGGTGCATCTTATTACTGCCTGGGTGTACTGAGAGTGGACTGTAGTGTGCTTCTTGGAGAATTTTATTGCGTAATTAAGAATCTACGGGTACACATAACCGACCCCTGAAGTATAACACATTTCCAACATGAAGCTCAAAACCCAAGGCCTTGCCATGACAGATCTGTTCAATTTGAGTTATGAACCGGTCATTCAAACTCTGCATTCTCTTGGTTTTACCTACCAATTCTGGTTCAATTCGTAACTCGGCTAACAACCCACCATCGCTTGATAAACTCAACTGTGCTAAAAGAGCCCGTAACTCTGATATCAATTCCCTACTCAAGGCTTATTCTATAACATTAGCCTTTACTAGGTGGTAGTCTATCACACAGTCGTAATCTTTAACTAATTCGACCCATCTGTGATGTTTGAGGTTTAACTCCTTTTGAGTGAGAAGATACTTGAGGCTTTTGTGGTTGGTGAAGATATGACACTTCTCACCAAAGAGGTAGTGTCAACAAATCTTTAAAGTGAATACCACTACGGCTAACTCCAGGTTATGGGTAGGGTAATTACGCTCATGAGGCTTAAGCTAACGGGACGCGTAAGCTACAATCTTACCCTCCTACATCAAAAAACATCCAAATCCACTCAATAAACATCATGGAAAACTATGAAGTCCTTACCCAACTCAGGTTCGGTCAACATTGGGCTTGGGTCAACATCGGGCTTGGGTCAAAATGACCTACAACTGTTCAAAGCGTTGTTGTCAATTCTCATCCCAAACAAAAGGGACTCCCTTCTAAAGTAGCTTGGTGAGTAAGGAAGCTATCATAAAAAAACCCTGAACAAACCGACGGTAGTACCCGATAAAGCTAAGGAAACCACACACCTCGGACACATTATTGGGTGGCTCCCACTCAACTATGGTATGAATCTTTTAGGGATCAACCCTGATTCATTCTGATGACACGATATATCCTAAAAATGATACATGTAATAGCCAAAACTCACACTTTCCGAGGTTGGTATATAATTATCTTTCTCTGAGAATCTGAAGGATAATACATAGATACTGATCATGCTCCTCTTCTGGTCGGGAATACACCAAAATGTCATCTATAAATACCATCACAAACTAATCCTAGTATGGGTGGAAAACTTGGTTCATTAGGTCCATGAACCCCGCTGGAGCACTAATGATTCCAAATAGCATTACTAGGTACTTGTAATGATCGTACCTCATCCTGAAAGCCGTCTTTTCCACATCCACATCTTTAATTTTTAACTAATAGTAGCCTGACCGTAGATCAATCTTGGACAAGAGGCATGCTCATCTCAACTGGTCAAAGAGATCGTCTATACTAGGAAGTGGGTAGCGGTTCTTGATGGTCTAATTATTCAACTGCATGTAGTCAATGCACAACCTCATCGACCCATAATTCTTCTTAACAAACAAGAATGGCACTCCCCAAAGAGATATGCTCGGTCGAGTGAAACCCTTTTCTAATAACTCCTAAATCTGAGCCTTTAACTCCTTCAGTTCTGTCGATGCCATTTGATAGGGAGAAATGGACACTGAAGCTGAACCCGACATTACTTCAATGTAAAACCCCAACTCACACTCGGGTGGCAAACTTGGCAATTCATTTGGAAATTTGATGGGTAGAAACACAAATCTCTAGAGGGTCTTTAAATTTATTCAATTCTTCATCATAATCATATGTTTCCTCATCTATTTTCTTTAAATTACCAAGAATCCACTTTCAAGTTTCCCCTTCAAAAAAATTAAAAACTGAAATAGAAAAAAAATAGTATTGACGATGCTGGTGTCAGCACTGTAATGCTTAATGGATTTGGGGTTAACTTTAATTTCTATAATGATTAGATTTGGATTGTTCCCTTCCATTGCTTTAGTGCTTTGCTCCATTGCTTTCTTGCACCATGCTATTTCCAAAGCTACTCAGATATCGTCGAGTGTAGGGACTGAGGTTTGGGTGTCGACCACTTGAGCCAAGAAGGCCTCACACCCACGGTCAATCATCCTTCGGGCTTTTAAAGCTGAAACTATCCTTGCTTGGGGGATATCTTGTTGGTCTTTACTAACTTGGTCCCATCATCTATCCTGAGTTTAAGCCGCCTAACATTGCACCTTAAAATGACATCATGTTCGGTTAGTCAATCCATCCCTAATATCATGTCGAACTCCCTAAAGTGTAACTCCATTAAATATGTTGGAAAGGTCTGATTTTGAATTCTCACTGGGTAACGTCTGAAGATTTTTTCCACGAGGACATCTAGACATAATGGGCTCATTACTCGAACGCCTATTTTAAGATTCTCTGCTAGAGTTTCTATTTCTTGAACTAGGTCAGAGAAGATATAAGAATGGGTGGAAATGGAGTCTATCAATACAATAACTGGTATGGAAAAGATTGTAAATGTACATGATATCCATCCGCCGTATTGACCTCCTCTTAGGCTCACACCACACACTCTCTGAATTCCATTCTCGGTACTTCACCTGCCAATAATCTAGCTATCCCATGACTCTATTGTCTAGACATAGTACTACCACCCTGGTTGGCCATCGACCTATGCACTAACAATGTTGATCACTGAGTCGCTACTGATATTACACCCTAAACTCCTGGAAGTCTTTGGCAAAATGATCAATAGAGCAATAACTATAGCAGCCTCTAAATCCCAGTTGGCATACCTCCGGATGTCTCTTCCCACACCAAGTACATGTGGTATAGGTGTATCCTTTAGATGGCTCACTAGAAACACTCCCAAAAAATATGTTTAATGATCTCATTCTCATATTGGATCTACATCCATGACCTGAACTCTGTCTGATTTTCCTAGACTAAATACTAGAGGCCTCAACAAAACCTGACTATCTCTGGCCATCTTGGTCAGAGTCTGAGAAGGTCTTGTTGACTTAATGGCACTCTTAAACGATCCTATTAACTCACTAGAATTTGTAGCCCGTCTCTCCAAAGCCCTCTCAACCACATTTTCCTAGCAGGTTAGCTGAGCGAAGACCCTTGGAGGATCAGTTACAAGGTGGGTCAATATGTCACCACTAAGGCCCTATTTGAATTGGTAACAAAGATGCTCCACAATCGGTATCAACTCTGTCGTATATGTGATAAGCCTGAGAAAATCTCGCTCATACTCCAACACTAATCGATCACCCTCAGTCAAGTGCAAGAACCACTCCATCATGTCATCGGTGTGGATCTTCCCAATGTACTTATCTCTAAACTAGGTGAGAAACTACTCCCAATTTGATCTCTATGGTGCCATCGCTATCCCAAAAGTCTTTCATCAATCTATTATGGCACCCTTAAGCAAGGAGGTGACACATTTTAAGTTACCTGTTGGGGTAAAATACAATTGTCTAAGGGTGCATAACATCTCTATAAGCCACTGGTCTGCTGCTATCGGGTTCTTATCCTCTAAACCAAAGAACTTAGTGGCATTATATATAAAAATTCGCTCTATTGGGGACTCATGAGGAATGACCACTGGCTGAGCTGGAGGTACTGATGGGGGAGGTGGTGCAACTGAAGAATTGGGGAGAAACCTATCTATCTATCTAAGTACGGAAGTGAGGTCTGAGAAAAATGTCACCTCCTCGACCCCTGCATCTACTGGTGCCTATCTTTGAACTGTATCTGAGATGAACTCGTCACCGAAATATGCTACTATTGAGGTGTGACTCACGTCTCTTCCCTCCTGACTATAAGTTGGGCCATCTACCATGGGCTTTATCTGTACTTAAAATAAAAAGGGGTCATTATCATCATTCTAGTTATTATAGTACTCTTGACACCCCAAAGGCATGTACATATATAAACGCTGACCGACTCTAACCTGTGGATCCTAATAACAACTAAACCTAGATATTCCGATACCACTAAATGTAACACCTTAATTTAGTTTGATCCGAAGGTCAATGGATTACAACGTCACACGGGACTACCAATATAGTAACCAAAATCTTTCTTTTAAAACTGTTTATAATCACTGAAAATAAACCATCCATAGTAATAAAAATAAACAAGATAATATGTGTTTAAAAAAATAATGGGGAGCTTCCAAATTATATCTCAAAATAATATAGTACCAAATACAAATCAAAGTTACAACTGAATATACATAAGGGTCCATATACAATACATGCCCACTAAAGATGACTCAAGACGTACTCTGAAGGTCTCTGAGAATCTGGTATGCTGCACTGTAATATCTGGGGATGATAACTCCCAACAATCTGC